CACATTAACCAAGGATCAAATTTAGCAGCCCCAACTGGAGAACAACCTGGTGTGAACGATAAGGAGATTACAATGTAACCTAGGTGGTGTTCTTGACAAAATATCCACTGTGAATCCAATCATGAGGAAACAATCAGTAAATGCAGAATTTGGCTCATTCCATAGGACAGTAGGTAGAAATCTTTAAAAATCCTTGTCATGGCAAAAGAAGGGAGAGCATTCTAGATTTTAAAAGATTAAGAAGACAACCACCAAAGTGCAGTTTGCTCATCCTGATTGGATCCTGGATTAGAGGAAAAACAGTTGTCAAAAGATACTTGGAGTAATTGGGGGAATTTGGATATGGAATGAAAATCAAATAATAGAGGGAGTGACTAAATTTTTTTAAGTAGAATGATGGTGTGGTTAGGTGGGAGGATGACCTTAGGAGTTGCATTCTGAAGCTATTTAGGGCTGATCTGCTGTGATGTCTACACTTTAGTTTCAAATGGTTTACCAAAGAAAAAGTGTGTGGAAATATGCACATACTCTCACACATATATAGATATAGCTATTGTGTGTATCCTGTGTTGTGCAGTAGGGTAACCACCACTGCCACACAGAACTATTTACATTAAAATTAATATTAAATAAAATTTAATATTCAAATCCTTAATGATGATAGCCATATTTCAAGTGCTCAATAGCCACATGTCCCTCAGGGCAGTGCATTGGCTAGCACTGGTGCAGAACTCATTATCCCAGAAGCTCTCTTGAACAGCCCTGATAAAGACACGCACATAGAAAGAGGCAAAAAAGCAAACACGGCAAAACTACAGTTGGTGTAGAGTATACCATTTAGTGTTTTGTTCTTTCAACTTTTCTATAGATTGGAAACTTCAAAATAAGACTGCTAATTGCAGCATCTGATCCTAGATTAGGTCCTGAACCAGAAAAAAATTGTCTTTTCTCTTTTGATATAATGGCTGCTGAGAGTTCAGTTGGCAAAATATGGATGTTCTGTCCATTAGATACGAGGATTAAAGAATGTTAAATCTCCCAGTGTTGATAATTATACTGTGTTATGTTAGACAATGTCTTTGTACTTAGAAATACACACTGAAGTATTTAGGAGTAAGGGGGCACAGCGCTACAACTTACACTCAGAATTTTGGAAAAAATGTATGTGTGAGAGGGAGTCGGGAGAGTAATAAAGCAAAAATAGCAAAAAAGTTATTTGGTGACTTTGGATGAGTTTATAGGAATTTTTTATATTACTCTTGAACTTTTCTAAACGTCTGAAAAGAAAAAAAAAAGCTAGGGTAAAAGCTGGAGAGCAAAGAAAGAAATATCCTGGCAGAGTTCAAGGGGGGAATACTCGGAGTCTTGGTTCCAGAGTTAGCTCTGCTTCTGAGTAGCTACACGGTTTTCTGTATGTCACTTCACCTCCCTGGATCTTAGTTAGTCCAACTATTTAATAAAGGGTTTGAACTTGTTGATTTTAGAGGAACTGTCTAGCTCAAAATGATAGGACTGTAATTACAACTAGTCCCTATTTTTTTTTTAAGGGGCCACATGCAGAGCTACCCTTCCACCACTAGGTGGCCTCAGTTAACCTTTGTCTACGTGTTGAGTATTTCATTTTTCTACTCTGGGCTGTCTTCCCAACATTGTTCCCTAGTACCATCCCTCGTTGCTTCTGAATCTCAGCCACAACTTTTGTTATTGTGCTGTGACTTTCTCCCTGCTGTTCTTTTGGGCCTGGGGAAGGCAAGTATTGTGGAAAGAATTCAGACGTGGCTTTACCCTTTGCCAAGTTATGGACCCTTAAGACTGTCACCTCGCAGAAAGGTCTGCGTGGGAGAGGTTTGCTAAATCTTGACAGAGGGGAGCTCAGGCGTGCCATCATGGATGTCGTATGATGTGGTTTGGGGCATGGGATAGAAGATGTCTAGTATTTCATCCTGGTGACCAGGAATTTCCACTTTGGCCAGTATATGCTGTAGAGATGCCTGTCTAGCCTTGGGAGGATACTTGCTTAGCTTGTGCTCTATCAGTCCCTGGCTTGCTGGTGCCAAGTGAACATCAGAAATGCTGCCACACGAAGGATACGAAGAGGAAATGCAGAGGGCTAATAAGCACATGGAAAAAACATTCAGTCTCACTAGGAACTGAAGAAAAGCACTAGAACAATTGTCTGGTGATGACACACAGCGCAGTGTGGAGTGCATATCCTGGCTTGAAGCCCCCTGGCTATGCAGCCTGAGACAATGACTGAGCTTCCCCAAGCCCGTTTACTCCTGGGTGAAGTGAGGGTGATGGTATATTCCCTGCCTCTTGGGCTTGTTGTGAGGATGCAGTTAAATGTGTTCATAGTATAGTGTCTATCATAACTACTCTTTAAATCTTAGCTATTATCTTGATATAATTTTTTTACCAACATTTATGATTGAATAAGAGTGAAAAACCACTCCTCCATGCTCTGTAGTGTTTGCTGAAATGGATGTGTTCTTACAGTGCCGATGGGCATCTATATGGGCTTATCCTTTTTGCAAAGGAATTAAGCAGTTTTATTTATTTATTCTCTTAAGTGTATTTTTTGTAATTGAAGTATAGTTGATATCCAATATTTTATTGGTTTCAAGTATATAACACAGTAATTCAACAGTTGCACACATTAAATCCTCACCCCAACTAGTGCAGTTATTGTCAACATAGAAAGATGTTACCGAATCATTGACTATATTCTCCATGCTGCACTTTCATCCCCATGACTAACTTATATGATTGAGATTCTGTGCCTATCTCCTTCAGCTATTTCACTTATGCATCCCAACCCATCTCTCATGTTAAATACCAGTCACTTCTCAGCATCTATGAGTCTGTTGCTATTGGTTCATTTTGTTGTTTTGATTTTATATTCCATAAAAAAGTAAAATCATATAATATTTGTCTTATACCCTCTAGGTCCATCCATGTTGTCACAAATGGCAGGATTTCTTTCTTTTTTATGGCTGAATAATACCCCATTGTACCACATCTGTTGTACACTATTGATTCATCTGTTGATGGACACTTTGGTTGCTTCCATATCTTGGCTCTTGTAAATATGCTGCAATAAACATAGGGGTGCAGGGAATTAAGGAGTTTTAATAACTTTAAAAAACGTTTATATCATTTGGAAGAGCACTCAGAAATGCATGCAACTCTGTGCATTCATGGCGATTTTCCCAGAGCAAAAAATTTTTAACATTGAAAGAATAGTTAACTAAATTATGGCAGGTCTATACGATGGGCTTGTTTTGCAGCCAATCAAAATTGGTTTTGGGAGGAGAAGAAATTTTAAAGAATTGGGGACATTAAGGATGAATGGCTGAAAAGTCTGGATTCACCAACATACTACTGAACATTATCCCACTGTTTTCAGGTTAGGAGTGATTCTTTTTCCTTGTGCTTCATATATTTTTTTTTTATCTCTACATTAAATAAAAATTCTTTTAGAATTAGGAAAAAACACAATTTATTTTTTAAGAGAAACGACAAGAAACCTTGAAAACGTCTGCCACAGGGGGGCAGCCGGGAGCCCTTTGACTCTTCTCTGACTTTGTTTTCTGCCCAGTGGTGTCAGCAAAGCCCAAGGTGCATAATCGTCAGCCTCGAATTAACTCGTTTGTGGAGGTGGCCGTGGATGGACTCCCCAGTGAGACCAAGAAGACGGGGAAACGGATTGGGAGCTCGGAGCTTCTCTGGAATGAGATCATCATTTTGTAAGAGCAAGTCTCCTCTCTTCAGTGCAGCGCCATGGGGGAAAGAGAGAAGGCGCTCCCAGGGGCTGAGGGGACCCAGGGTTCCTGTGAAGCCCCAAGCTCTTCGGCCTGTGGTACCTGAGGTGCCTCTCTTCAGGTGTTTCTGCGTTATTGAGCCCACAGAGCGTTCATCGTTAGCTGGATGGTTACAGGGTCAGCTCTAGGGGGTGGATAAAGCATATGTGATTGTCTTCCTCCTTGGGGCTTTCCGCCCCCCTCCAAGATGTCCACAGTATAGTTTTCTGTTTTCTTCTAAGTTGTCAGAGTGATCGATCTGCTTGGATGTGCTGAATCAAGCATTTGTTTTCCAGGAATGTCACGGCTCAGAGTCATTTAGATTTGAAGGTCTGGAGCTGCCATACCTTGAGAAATGAACTGCTAGGCACCGCCTCTGTCAACCTCTCCAGTGTCCTGAAGAACAATGGGGGCAAAAGTATGTATGTTGAAGGGGTGGCTGGCATGACTCATTTGTGGGGTGGGAGGAAGAATTTGAAGGCAGGGTTTCTCAGCCGCCATGGATGAACCTGGGGATACGGTTTCCTCCCCACTCAGGGGCGGCAGTGACTCTGTTCCAGGTGGGCGCCACCTGTGGAGTTCTAGGATGGCGGAGAGCCCCTCTTTGCCTCCACCGTGGAGCTCAGCACCCTCCGTCCACGGGCTCTAGAGGTGGGATGCAGTGATGTGTCCCCTTGATCCTTCTTCAAGGAGGAGTTCTTTGCCTCTGCCTCTGCCCCTCTTTTCCGCATCCAGGAGATATGTGACATGTGGACCCAAACTGTCAAGTGCCTCCAGTAAATCATTACTCTCCTAGTCTGCGCCCTCTGGTGTGTGTCTGTGGGGTGAAGTTACATACACATGGTGCCCTGCACTTAGTAGGCACTCAGTAAACGTTTACTGGATGTTGGCATGTGCAGGCAGTCTGTCATAATTATTCAGGGTGCCTCTGCTGCATGGAAATCTAAACCCTACCATCCCTTTGTTGCTGTTTGTGGTCAGTGGCCTAACCTGTGGCTGTGGTATCTGGACCCTCCCTCATAAAGCCTCTCGTCAGAGCAGAACCATATGTGGTGAGGGAACTGCACAGCATGAAAGGCTCCTTTTTCTTTTGATGTCTGCTGTGTAGAAAATATTTTCTGAAAGTGAATTTAGCCTAAGAGAGATGTGGGGGTGGGGAGAGGGGGGGCCCCAGGGCGAGCGCTGCATTGATTCCAGCGCCTTCTCTGACCTGTCCTTTCTGAGGGGCCCCTCGAGTGGTGTCTGACTTTTCCTTTCTGCTGGGCACACCGGGTTATGTTGAGCCCCCTCAGGAATCTTTTAGAACCAGGAATGTGCCTCTGCTTTAATTCTGCAGGGAACTCCTGGGTGTTGTCTTCTGTGTTGGTCTTTGTTTTCCCAGGCTCAAGCCTACCTTTTATAATTTGATTATCAAGGTGGATTATATTTATTATGACATTTAGAAATATACTGTGACATTCTTCTGGCATCAGCAGTCGGCACGACTGTCCTTTCTTCCCTTCATTTGTCCAGTCAACATACTTTTGCTTTGGTTTATAAAAATAATTGTAGAAAAACTTGAAATTACACAAAAGCCACACAGACGCACAAAGAAAGTGAAAATCTCTTGTAAGCATCGCACCCAGTGATAGTTACTCACACTTTGGTATATACCCTTCTGAGCTTTTTCTCGCATGCACGTATTATTTTACAACATGCCTTTTTCTCTTTAAAATGTATCAACATATCTTTATCTATATTTAATTGTGATAAAATGCACGTAACTTAAAATCTATCATCTTAAGCATTTTTGAGTGTGCAGGCAAGTGGCATTAAGTGTGTTCACACTGCTGTGCAGCCACCACCACTGTCCATCTTCAGAGCATCGTCATCGTCCCGAACTGAAACTCTGTGCCTATTGAGCAATGATCCCACAGTCCCTGCCTTCCCTCAAGCCCCCACCATTCTGTTTCTGTCCCGAGGAACCTTACTGCTCCAGGTGCCTCATGTAAGTGGAATCAGGCCGTATTTGCACATTTATGTCTGGCTTGGTTCCCTCAGCATGATGTTCTCAGGGCTCATTCATGGTGTTACATCTGTCAGAATCTCCTTCATTTTAAGGCTGAATATTATTCCATTGTATGGACACGCCACATTTGTTTATCTATTTATCTGTCCAAGGTCACTTGGCTTGCATCCACCTTTTGTCTGTTGTGAACACAGGTGTACAAATATCTCTTCAAGTCCCTGCTTTCAATTCTTTGTTGTATATGCCCAGAAGTAGACTTGCTGGATCATTTGGTAATCCTATGTGTGATTTTTTGAGGACCCACCATACTCTTTTTCATAACTGCTCTACCATAAAAGATATCAATTTAATTTTCTTTTAAAATAGTCTTCTAAAATACAGTTTTTGATGACTGCCTGGCAGTAGTCTACCAGAAGGCTGTGTGAGCATGGAGAATATAGTCAGTGATCCTATGTTGACAGATAGTAACTGTACTAGTTGGGGTGAGGATTGAATACTATGGGTAACTGTTGAACCCTGGTGTTGTATGCTTGAAATCAATATAAGATTGTGTATCAGTACTTTTGTTTTTAATTGACACTTCAATTAAAAACAAAAAGAAGGCTGTGTGAAAATTTAAGGTTGGATGGGTAGCTTTGAGTCTTTCACGATCACAACAATGCTCTGGTAAATGTACACATTTGTATAACTTTTTGCCCATTGTTGAAGTTTTACTTGTGATAAATTACTGAACATGAATGTGTTGGGTTTAACCATTTTTCAAGGATTTTGACACATATTGCCAAAGGTTCTGCTAGTTTACCTTCTGGTCAGCTGTGGCCAAGATTACTGGTTTCTACTGCACCTTGGCATTCATTGGATTTATTTGTAAAAAAAATATATATATATATATATATATATTTGATAATATTATGTGAGATTTGCTTCAGCAATTTTTTTTTCTGGCTTTGCTATTTCAATTACAGATGTCCCCACACTTGACCCGAGACTCTTCAATATGCATCTTGTAAAAAAAAAAAAAAAGATCATATTCTTACATAATTACCTACCATTACTATATCTAGCAATATTAACATAAATTCCTGTTATCATCTATTACCCAGTTCATATAAAAAAACTCCATGGTGTTTTACAGTTTGCTCAGACCTGGATTTGGACAAGGGCCGTTCATTACATTTGGCTGTCATGTCTCTAAAGTCCTCTAACTCCACCCCTGTTTTTTATGCTGTGATTTAAGGAAGGAGATTGACTGTTTTAAAAGTGTGTTTATTGCCTTATTAATGTCCTCTGCTCATTTTATACTGAAATGTGCATTTTTTGGTTTTGAAAGAGCTCTTTATATGCTAAGGCTATTATCTTTTGTCTTATAATTCCTAAATGTTTTTCTAGTTTTTCATTTGCATTTTAATTTTGCAGGGTTTTTTTTTCTTTATTTTTCCCAAACAGATGTTTAAACTCTATGAAGTTGAATCTGTTACTCTGTGTTTTCAGCCTTTTCTTATATGCTCCGAAAGGCTTTCCTCATCCTGAGATCAGGTAAATAGTCACCTCTGTTTTTTCCCAGTTTGTCTGAGATTTTATTTTTTCACATTTAATTCTTCATCCGAAAGAGTTTATTTTTGTTTACAATGTGCATAGGGATCTGATTTAATTTTTCCCAAGTAGCCTATTGCTTTAAAACTACTTACTGAATAATCCATCTGTATCCTCACTGATTTGATTGCTACCTTCAGCACGTATTAAAAACGTATGTGTACTTACATGTTTGGGGATTTCCATTTCATTTGCAGTTTCATTAGCCTTCCCAATTACTCTGTCTTAGCTGTTATAACATTATAATATCTCTTATTATCTAACAGTTCAAGTTTCTCTTCTTTTCAAAATCTTCTTCCTCTTTTCTTTGCATATTTGACATCATCATGTGAACTTCAAAATTATTTTGTCAGGTTCTCTCCTCCCGCTAGATCCCCTGAGATTTTATTGGATTCCTATTAAATGTAAAGTTGGAATCCTATCATATGTCAAGTTTCTTTATGGAGAATTTCCACACTAATTCTTCCCCCGGAATCTGGAATGTCTCTAAATCCATTCAAGTCATTTTGAAGTTATCTTTAGATAGAGTCTTTCAATTTTTAAAATAGTTTTGATATTATTTTCAGTGGAATCTTCTATTATTATGTTTTTTAACTTAGTGTTGTTGGTATATGACTACTAGTTTCTGCATTTTGTAGATAATCAGTTGCTAAATTCTTAGTATAGGTTTTCAGTAGTTCTTGATTTTCTTGGTAGTCATTTCTTTGATTTCTAAGATTGATAATTTTGTTCATGTTAGGAAATAACTATATATTTTTTCTTATTAGTTGCTTTGCTACAACTTCCTGTTTTAGTGGTGATGGAATGGGCATCCTGCCCTGTCTTAACAACTATGCTTCTAGTGATTCCTCTCTAGGAGTAAAGTTGGGTATTAGTAACCTGTCTTCCTAGTTTATTAATTAAAGAAAAAAATTTTTGTTTTTCAAGTTCATTTTTTATCAGATAGATATCTTTAAAGCAACCATCAGGATAATTAAACGATTCTTTTGTTTCAATGTTTATGTTTATTTACTAATAGTCACTTTCTTAGAATTCTAGAATGTACCTAATTGCTCATGTTAGATTATTCCTTGAAAATTTTGTTAGAATTGCTTGTTAGTATTTTACTTGGGGGTTTTCCATCTGTAATCATAAATGTAATATATCTTTAGCTTGGTACTATTTTTGTCAGTTTTGGAATCAAGGCTAAGCTAATTTTATAAAGTAAACTGAAGTGCTTTCCAACTTTGGGAACAGACTGTGTAACATGGGAGTTATCTGTTCCATGAGTGCAGGAAAGAGCTCACCCATAAGACCAACTGGGTCTGGCTGCTCTTGTGAAATAATTCTTTCATGGCTTTTTCAGTTTTCTCCCCGTAATGATTGGTTTACTCAGCTTTTCTGATTAATCTTGTGTCAGTTTTTAAATTCATGTTTTCCGAGAAAGTTGTTTCATGAGATTTTTCAAGTTTATTAGTATAAAGAGTTTATATAGGATTCTTATTTAAAAAGATGTTTCTGAGTTTTCTCACATAAATTTTTGGTATTTGTGGGTTTTCCCCCTCCAATTTTTTCTCAACTAGCATAAACATTGTTATTTTAATTTTTGGTCTCTAATTTGTTTTTCACAGAACAGCTTCTTGAATTTATTCACCAATTATACCATATTTATTTTCTGATATTAATTTCCATTTTTAACTTTAACTTTTTTCAACTATTTGCCCTAAACCTGTTTTTTTTTAAATTTGTTTAGTCAATTAATCATTTATAGCTTTCTTAGTTGAAAGTTTAGTGCATTTATTTTTGTCCTTTGTATGATGATGAAAACATTCTTGCTT